AGGTAGTCCTGCGGGGGTGACAGGGGTTACAGATCCCTTGGCCTGGGCGCGTGCGCGCGGCTCCCCACTGTCTTCGGGCTCCTCACCTCCACGATGCTGCGAAGGTCCCGAACATACGCCCGCTCCGTCTCCACGATCTCCCTGGCCACTCGCTCCAGCCTAGAGGGTTTCACTGAACCCTGGACGCCCATGGGCGACAGGTGAAGGCGTATGGGGGGCTCTGGGAGGGGCTCTGGCCCCGAGGCTGAGCAGGCCGGAGCAGGGTCCCCCTCAGAGCCCACAGTGCTCAGGGAGGTGGAGCTTCCAGAACCCCTCAGGGAAGCCATGAGAGGGGCGGCAGGGGCTGCTAAGGAAGGGAACAAGGGGTCAGGGCTCCCCAACTCACTCACACTCAGCTGACAGTTCCCACAGGTCTCGGCAGCACTCGCCTAATCTGTCCAGGCTGATCCTGTACCTGTCTGGATCCTTCCTTCCCTTCCGGGCCTTGGGCCTCCATTGCTTTAATTCACCTCCTCCATCAACCACAACTACCATCAGGAATCTGTCCAACTGACACGGCACATCTACGAGCCCTCACCCCTTCACATCCACCTTTGTCCGGAACCTCAGAGGGGCAGCTGCCGGCCTTTGCACACACTGCTCCCTGTACGCAGAACACTTCTTAGCAGTCTCCTCCGTGGCGACAGGGCTGGGCGGTCTTGGTGATGGTGACACTGCTCAGCTCTGGGCCAGCCACAGAAGGATGCTCAGTGCCCTGAGGGAAGGGACAAATGCCCACAGGCTCCACCTGTCTGGGCTGCTCACCTGTCGGAGTATCACTCACAGCTGCGCAGTCACAGGCTTCACCTTGGTGGCCACACCCCAGCCTAAGGCTGGGTTTGGACAGGCTGAGTCCCCGGGTTCCCTCCGGCATGGCTGAGTGGCACAACTCGGACCTACAAAGAGACCCGCTTCTTGGGAACAGAACTTCACCGGCCTGGCTGCTGCTCCAACTCACGGATAGGGTACTAGAAGTTGATCGAAATCCAAGCAGGGCCCCCAGGGAGATTCAAAGTGACAGAAACAAGGGGCTGAAAAGACAAGCCGAGGATGGAAAGGTTGAGACAAAGAGCGAAGACAGCAAAAGTGCCCGAGTCTGCAAGTCCCATCTGTCTGGGGCCCCCCTCCCCCGGGCTCAGGGATCCTGGGAACTCTCAGGCTCGAGCTGCAACGGAGGGCGAGGGGCAGGGCTGGGAAAAACCGTGGGCGGGAGAGGCCGCGGGGTCCCAGGGGAGGGCGGAGGCTGGGGGACCGGATGCCAGGGTCCTGCAGTCGGCTTCTTACCCCGCCCAGGGCTGCGCGCTGGGGCGCTGGACCCGAGCCCTTCACCCCGCTCCAGCCGGCTCCCTCGGCGCCCCAACCGCAGCCCCCGCCGCCTGAGCGTGCCCCGGTGCGGTCGCAGCCCCGACTCCCGCCGGCGCCTCCGCTCCCCCCCGCCGGCACGCCCCCTCATTGTTCCGCCTGGGCGCCGCCCCCTCCCCCCGGCCCCCGGCCCCTCGCCTGCCCTCACCTCCCGGGGAGCCACCGGCCCTGGGGTCGGAAGTCCCGCGCGTCTGGACGGGAGTGCGCGGTCCCCGGGAAAGCTCACAGCCCGCCCCCAGGGTCGTGAACTTGGGGCTCTCGGACTCCGGCGTCCGGGGCGAGCTGGGATCCGGAGTCCGAAGTCTCGGCGTTCTAAGGGGAAGATGCTGCACGCTCCACTCGAGGCTCCGCCGGGGGCGCGGGGACCCGAATTCCCGGGTCTTCGAGGTAGGGCTGCGCGCTGTGGGGGGACCAGGAGGGGCAGGGAGGAAGTCACCTCCGGGGGGACCGCGAGGACGCGAAAACTCCTGGACGTGACGGACGCTGCGGCCCTGGCTCGTGGCGCGAGGTCCTGTCCCCAGTGGCTCCAGGAGGGGGCCCTGGCCTGAGCGGGACCTCGCGGGCGCGGGGATGCGCGGCCGCGGCAGCTGCGGGTCTTCCAAGCCGGTGTGCGGGTCGGGCCTCCGGCCTCGGAACTCACGTCCGGGCCCCGCGGCTCGCCCAGGAGGGGGCGCCGGGCGCCGGCGGGCCCGGCCCGGTGCGGGAGCCGGGGCGTGCGGGCGCGCGGGCCGCGGGACGGGGCTCCGGGCCGCCGCGGGCAGAGTCGGGTCCCAGATGTGGGGCGGGGGGCGGCCGCCCGAGGCTTCCCCTCCCCCTGGCGGCCGCCGCGGCTCACATCCTGTTCCCGCCCGCCGGGGGGAGGGGCCGCCTTCCGGCACGCCCTCCCGCAAAGGGTTAATCCTCCGCCCCCTACTCTGAAGAGTCGGAGGGGGCGGGTCCGGCCACGGGCCACGCCCACATTCCAGGCGCCCGGAGGACTTCTCCCTTTTACAGCAAGGGCCGGCGAGGCGTGAGAAGCCGGAATAGTTGCACACCCGCGTTCCCATTGGCCAGCCGGAGGGCTTTATATTTGCATATGCAACGGTGGGCGGGGCGGCGCGGCGCGGAAAGCCGCGCGAGTAGAACTGACTGAAGGACTTTGTGGCGCGAGGGTGCGGCCGGAGCTCCAGTGGCGCAATCGGTTAGCGCGCGGTACTTATACGTCAGTGCAAGCGGGGCGATGCCGAGGTTGTGAGTTCGATCCTCACCTGGAGCACTCCTTTTTCCTCCCGCCTCAAGTGGCCGTGCTTTCTTGGTGTGGCTCTCGTCCAGTTTTACAAGTCTTTCACGTTCTAGGACCACACGAAACGGTTTTCGCTTGTTTGAGACCTTGTAACTCTGGCTACCCCGGGACTCCGCCTGAAGTCCAGGCTGGCCTCGAACTCACGGAGGTCCTCCAGCCCCTGCCTCCCGAGGGCCGGGATTACAGGCGTGCGTCACCACTCCCAGAATCTGCAAAACTTTGAAGAACGAACGTCTCCTTGTGAATGTTTGGCGACGGTCGGTTGGAACCGACCCGGTGGTGCAATCCCCACTGCGGTCGCCAGGGGGCGATGCCGCCTCGTCAGAGGGCCTGGGCGTCGAATCTCGGGTGGAAGGAGGGTTAGAACCGGCTCTGCCTCCCACACACACCGAGCCCTCTCCAGGCGCCTCTGTCCCCGAGGCCTGCAGGATTGCCGAAGACGTACTAACCGCGCTTACAACCCGACTCCAGTGTTGCCCAGCCCCAGGCTCCTGCCTTAGTCACCACCTGAACTGGGGCTCCCCAGGGCCCACCGTGTGGTGGAGGGAGAAGCCGGGACCTGCGCTGGTTGGTCAGTGTTCTTAACTGCGGAGCCACCTCTGCAGCCCCGGGGAAGCTCTTTGAACACACCCCTGGGGGAGAGGAGCGAGCCTGGGAAGAGCGGGCCGCCCCAGGCGACACCCTCTCCGGAAGATGGGTGTGTCCGTGCAGCCGGCGAGGAGAGCGGGCGGAGGGCTGCTGGGCTGCGGACTGTGATTGAACCCTGCTGTTGTAACACTCTACCACGCTTCCCTGGCTTTGGGGAGCAAGGTGGGCTTTCGGTGGGGGCCCTCGGTTCCCGCGAGCGCGCGTGGGTGCGTCTCCGGAGTGTGGCTGGCAAACGGGCCGCGGTCATGCTTTTTTAAGTCCTTGTTTTCATTTCCTGCGTGTGAGGGCGCCGCAAGCATGCCTGGTGCCCAGGGAGGCCAGGAGAGGGCCCCAGGGAGGCCAGGAGAGGGCTCCGGGTGCCCTGGAACCGGGGTTGGGAGCGGTCATGCGGGTCCTTTGCAGGAGAAGCAGGTTCTCCTAACCTCTGAGCCATCTCTCCAGGGCCTGGAGGCGTATTCCTGGGCCCGGCACCCACCCTCTTCCTCTCGGCGTCCGGCACTGACCACCCTCGTTCCCCCTACATTCCCGATGCCTCTGGGTCCGTGAGTTTCTGTTTCCTACAAAGCAGGGCCGGGGCCCTTCTCACAAGGAAGGCAGTTGCCTGGAAGAGGTGCGCAGAGGTCGGCGAAGGGAAGGGAAGGACGGGCAGGGCTGGGGGGGGGGGGAGGGCGAGGTTAGGGGCGCAGTTGTGGGGAAAGAGGGGAAAGGAGAGGTTAGCTAGGAGGCAGAGCGAGCCGAGGGGAAACCGGCCGGGCCGCGGCCGTAGGTGGGAGGGGCTGGGGAGGGAGGGGAGCGGGGCGCGGGGCGGAGCGCGGGCCCTGACGCGGCCAGCTTCCGGCGCGGCCGGCCCAGCGGGGCCCTTGCCTTGTATGGTCGGAGGACGGGGCTCGCCCAGCCCTGCGCCCCGCGCGCCCAGCCGGACGGAGCTCCGGAAATGCCCGATCGCGGTCGGCCCGAGGCCGCGGGGAGTCCGCGCGGGGCGCGGGGGCCTCCCACGTCTCCCAAGCCCGCCCCACACCCGGGGGGCGCGCGGGGCGGCCCCCAAGCAGTGCTGAGGTCGAGGCCCGAGGACGGCCAAGAGTGCCAGCCGCTCGGGGGTCAGAGGTCAACCCGGGCCCCCCCTTCTTCCCGGGAAGGCGGGCGAGGGGCTCAGCGGGGCCACCCCGACCCCCACCCCGCGCCTCCAAAGCCGAGCGGGGCGGCTCGCGCGCGCCCTCCAGAGGCGGAGGCAGGGGACTGCCAGAGTTTAAAACCGGGCGGTGTCGGCCCACCCGAGGCCCGTCCCCCGCCTCCTGGGCGGGGTGCAGCGTCCCCGCGGGCCGGCCCAGCTTCGGGCTGACCCCTGCCCGGCGCCGGGCTCGCGTTCCGGCACATTCCGTCCTCGCCGCGCCCGCCCGCCTTGGCCCCGGGGGACGGAAACATCTCGTCTCTCCGCCCGAGCTGGGTCAGGAGCCGGAGAGACAGGACCCGAGGCCCCACGCCCGGAGAACCCGCTCTCCCGGCTCCGCTCGCTCTCACCTCGCCACGCCCCCTCAGGTGAACCACCGCGCTGCCGACGTCACTTCCTGCCAGGTAAGCGCCCCCAGGCCGCGCTCCCGGAGGGCAGGAGGCCGGCTGACAACGCTGCGGTGTGGCCGTGACCCCGAGGAAAAGCCAGAGTCCATCTCCGTTCACGCTCAAGATTTTATTCAAAAATTCAAAAAAACCCCACAAAAATAGACTTGTACAACAATATATTATTACTTATATTATTTCTGGTACAGCATCCGTCTCAACGTTACAAAAAGAACAACGAAGCAGACGACCCAATATATATAAATACTATAAAATCTTATTACAATAAATAAAGTCGTCATAAATAAAGGGCCCAGGGGTTGGGGGAAGGGCTTTGGCAATGGCTTTGGCTATGTTCTTGGAGAGGGAAATTCGAGCACCAGGATTCTCCCTCGGGGGAGGCTTCAACCACCAGACACTGAACCTTGGGGTCTCTTCAAAACGGAGAGGCCAGGCGCCAGGGCGCACGCCTGTGATCCCAGCACTTGGGAGGCAGAGGCAGGTGGATCTCTGAGTTCGAGGCCAGCCTGGTCTACATAGAGAGTGGGTCCAGGACAGCCAGGGCTACACACAGAGACACCCTGTCTCTCTCGGTGGGGACGGGGTCGTGGGAACCAGCTCTTCACAGCACGTAAGGTTCCAGGAGGCCGGGAGGGGCTGGTGTAGCTGTAACCCCAGGACTCGGGGATAAGGTAGGGCCGCACAAGGCCAGCCTGGGGGACCAGGCCCCTCACCGAAACGACTGAAGACGCGGGCCCGGAGGGCCAACGGTCAACCGTCCTGCAGACACTGTCTCAGGCCCCGGAACCGGAGCCACCCGAACACTGAATCGGCAGACTAGGGACCTGCCCCAGCCCAGCACCACGGGAGCGGGTTAATGCATCTTGGAATGTCCGAAGGAGGCCGCTTACTGGCCCAGGAGCCCCCCGGGCCCCCTCCCGGGCCGGGTAGGCGGCGCTTGTCACTCAGAGACAGAGATGCGGTTGAAGATGGGAAGGCGCCTCGGGAGCGCGGGCGGCTGGGGGGGCCCGAACACCCCGGCCTCGAACACGGGCGAGTCCGAGCCGCCGAGGCTGCTGCCGCTGCTGGCGTAGTCGTCGGCGTCGGAGCCCAGCGAGTGCGCGGACGGGCTGCGGGCCAGGCCGCCCAGGGGCCCCCAGAGGCCGGCGGGCGTGGACCTCCGGCAGGAGGGGCAGCAGGCCGCGGGGGGCTCCCTCCGCGCCACGGGCGTCCCGGGGGCGGCGGAGAAGGCCGAGGGCGACAGCGGCAGGTCGGCGGGCGGCGGCGGCGGCGAGCCGGGGGGCGAGAAGGAGCCGGCGGACAGGCAGGGCCCGGGCAGGCCGGGCGGCGGCGAGGCCCCGCGGCCCGAGAAGCTCACGCTCTGGCGCAGCACGTGCGGCGGGCGCGGGGCGGCCGCGTCCTCGCTGGGGTTGTGGATGAAGTGGCAGCGCGCGCCGTAGGGGCAGCGGCCCTGGAGGTAGAACTTGTGGCACAGCTCCGTCTTGTACTTGGGGTGGCGGTTGGCCTGGCGCAGCTCGGCGGGGCCGTGCGCGAACTGGCACTTGCTCCCGTAGCGGCAGCGCCCGCTCTCCGAGAAGGTGCGGCACAGCTCGGTCTTGTAGCGCGACGAGGCGCCGGGGGCGGCGGGCGGCGAGGCGGGCGCGGGCTCCGGGCGCGGCGCCAGCGGCTTGAAGCCGGGCGGCGGCGGCGGCACCCAGGCGCAGCTGCGGCCCTCCACCAGGCTGCTGGAGCGGCCGGGCGGGCGGCAGGGCCCCGCGGGCCAGGGGCCGGGGGCCTCGGGGCTCAGCGACAGGAGGCTCTGCGGGGAACAGGGTTCGGTCAGGCCCCCGGAGAGGCCGGGGGGGGGGGGCGCCCCGCCCCTGGGGCAGCGCACCCCGCGAGCTCGCCGTTCCGGTTTGTGGGTTCGCGCCCGGGCGCCCCACCCGGCTCCCACAGGCTCCCCGGCTGGAGGGAGCTGGGCGTTCCCACGCGACGGGGACGGAGCCGGGGAGCCGGGGCCCCCAAATCAAAGCACGGCACTGTCCCCCTCCCCGGGGCCTCTCGACCCCTTCCCTCCCCCCCACCCACAACCGCCCGTCGGGCGCCCCGGTGTCACAGCCCGGGGAGCCTCGAAGGCGCCCCGTCCAGCCCACGGCAGCTCGGGCGCCGGGGCGCGCCGGGGGCAGCGCGGGGCGCGGGGCCGGGGCGCGGCGCGGCGGGGGTGCCGTGCGGGCAGGGCTCACCTCGTAGATGGCGGAGAGGTCCATGGTGGCGCGGACGGCCGTGCGGGGCAGAGCGACGGGCGGGTCGCGGCAGCCGGGCTGTGGCTCGGGGCGAGAGCGCGCGCCCTTTATGAGGAGGCCGGGGGCGTGGCCTCGGGAGCTTCCCGGACGCGCCCCCGCGGCCGAGCCCGGCCTCTCCGACCCGGCCCCTTCCGCCCCGCTGCTGGTTAGCTCGCGGGCACCCCCGGCCCCTCTGGGAGGAGGGCTGGGGGTGTGACCCACCGTGGGGAGGGTGGCGGCGCGGCGAGTCGTTCTCCAGGGCTGAAGATGCCCGGAGAACTGGGGCAGGAGCGGGGCAGGGCTCCCGGGACAACTGACAAGGGCAGAGACTGGGAGGGCGTGTGCGTGTGAGACAGACGGGGGCGGGGAGAGACGAGCCGGGAGAGACAGAGATGGCCAGGAGCCGAGAGAAAAACAGAGTGAGAGACGTACACGCTCAGGCCCGCTGCTTTAGGACTGTGATTGGGGCACCAGGCGAGGCTGAGGCAGGAGGCTGGCAAACCCAAGGCCAGTGAGTTCCAGGGCAGCCTGCGTAGCCTAGAGAGACCTCTGTCTAAAAAAGTAGGAAGGCGACAGGTGCGGGGCAAGCCTTTATGACTCCCAGCCCCTGCGAGGCAGCAGATGGAGCTGTGTGAGTTCAAGGCCAGCCTGGTCTACAGAGTTCCAGCACAACCAGGAATACACGCGGAGAAATCCTGTCTTGAAAAACGCAGAGAAAAACTGTCCTAAAAAAAAAAAAAAAAAAAAAAAAAAAAAAAAAAAGGCCAGTGACATATGGCATATGGCTGTGATCCTGGCATTCAGAGGTGGAGGCAAAGCCAGTCTCAGCCATTGATCAAGGTCCAGGTCCTATTTCTGAAAAGAGAGGAACCACGGAGGTGGGAGGGAGTGAACAGACTCGGTGCTGGAGTGATTACTTGGCACTCTTTAGATCCGTCCCTACTATAGAAAGAAAGAAAGAAAAGAAAGATGACCTACGCAGAACGGGCAGACAGTAGGAGAGGGGGTTGGCAAACAAACTTAGAAAAGGATGGAGGTTACAGAAAGATAAAGAGGGAAGGTGAAATAAAAACTAAAATCTCTGGGCCCAGAACCCGTCAGACACAGTCAGCTGGCCCAGGAAGGAATACTCAGAGCCTTCTCCCTCGCTGTAGCTCCGGAGTGGTCTTTCCAACCCCCAGACCAGCGGGCTGGGCAGGGCCCCTTTACCCAAGCTGCGCTTTAAATTGTTAAGAGGTTTCGCTTCCGAATCTCAAGACTGAAATAGCCTGAGTCTTTTATTAGGATGAAAGCTCGCGTCTGAAAGGCCACCTGAACGCCGAGTGGGCCTCTGGGAACGCAAGAGCAGATCTGGAAGGTTTCTGCGTTCCAGCCGGGTGTCCAGGCTGGCCTGGAACTCGCGATTCTCCAGTCCTCACCACCCAGGAGGAGTTAGGACTGGAGGCACGGCCGCCACGCCCGAGGGAGAAGTGTTCCTTGAAGGGTGTCCCCCGTGGAAGAGTGTGCGTGGGGGGCTCTGGTGGGCAGGGGTGTAACTCGGATGCTGGGAAGCTCGCGCACGGCGCGGCGCGCGCTGGTATCAGGCGGGGAGATGCTGCGGGGCTGCTCCCCGGCCCGACGAGGGATGGTGTGCAGGGGGAAGCCCTGCCGCGGCGCCTTCTGGGGCCAGGGCCCTCCTGGGCCGGTCCCGTGAGCTGGGCAGGCCGTAGGCTGCTGTGGCACGGTTGCGGCCTCCCGCTCGCCCGTGACTCACTCGTCTAGGGCGGGGCGGGGGGGGCTTCCTGGAAGCCGTGACGAGGACGCTTGGGTTCCTCTCCTGTAACCAGGGCTGCCGTCTGTTGTAAACAGTCTCGGGGACAACGGGAAAGGACGGGGAGGAGGCGCCCCCAAACCTTCCTCCCCCCGCCGTGCGCAGCCGCCCTGGGGCGACCGCGGGGGGCGCGGAGGAGGGGCTCCGGTTTCGATTCCCCGGAGACCCGGACCTCGGCCCGCCTGACTCAGCCCGGCCCCCTCCTCGATCTGCTGAGTCACCGGGCTGGGGCCCGGTCGCCCGGGGAGGGCTGGGGGCGCAGCAGGGGCAAGTGAGCGCGGAGGCCCCTCCGGCCCTCGACGCCGAGCCGCAGGACTCGGGAAGACGCCACCGTGTACCGCCCGGGGTCCGGGGCTCAGCCCGCCCCGCCCCCGCCCGGGGCCTCGGCCCTCAGCCCCGCCCCCTCGGCCTGCCCGGGGGTCCCGGGGCGCCGGGCTCCCTTCCCTCGGGCCCTGTCCCCGCACCCCGGGCTCCCGGCCGGCCCCCCCGCCCGGGCGCCCCGGTCCCAGAAGGAAGTTCACGCCGACCCCTCCCTGTCCCCACGCAGCCAGCGGGGAAAATCCGCGGCGCGGCCGGCGGCCGGGAATCCCCTCTGGAATGACGGCGGGGAAGGGGACGGCCGAGGGCCCGCCGGGCACGCGGCCACGTCCGCGCGCGACGGGGGGCTGGGGGGAGGCGAAAGGGGCGGAAACCAGGGAGGCTAAAAATACAGCGAGCACTTCCGGCCCGGGCGGCGGGGGGAGGTGAGCCCAGAGCTGAGTTTCCAGAAAAACAAGCGGGGACGGGAAACACGGGGGTGTGAGAGCCGGGGGCCGCGCCGGGGCCCGCGTCCACGCGGCACGTGTGTGCTCGTCGTGATTGCCTGGGAGTGTGGGCTTGGCGGGGTGTTGCAGGGCCACAGCCGTTGCCAACTGTAGTGTGCCCGGGGGCGCCGGGAGGCGAGCGCGGTGTGTGTGTGTGTGTGTGTGAGAGAGAGAGATGGGGAGTCCGAAAGCTCCCGGTAAGCAGCTGGGGACACAGGTGTGGGGCCGCGCCCGTGAGTGCCCAGGGCTCCCGTGGAGCAGGGGCCTGGGATGGAGCCTCCTGCCCTGTGTGCTGCAGGTGGCCCCTGGAGAGCTGCCAACTGTAACCGCCACCGCCGCCGCCGCCGCCGACTTTGAAGGGGCTTCATGAGAACTGTGACCTCCACCCCACCCGCCTGGGTGTAACTGGGCCACCGTGGGATCTGGGGGCACCGAGGGTGCCAGTCCTGGCAGGTGTGCACATGGGACCTGGAAGTGTGTGGGCTCTCTGCGGCTGAACTGTTTGTTGTGCTCTGTGTGTATCTGTGGGTCTTGGCAGTGTGGAAGGCCTGAGTGGACCAGTCACAAGGCGGTGAAACCAGTGAGCTTTGGTGCTTGACGTAGCGGCAGGCGCGTGACGGCAGGCCGCTTGAGTGCTCCCTCCCGTGCCTGCCTCTGTGGGCAGCGCGGCCGTGCACACTCCTCCCGCACCTAACATGCGACTGAGCCAGTCCTCTGTCCCGTGAGCCCGGGCGCTCTGCGGCAGGGCTGAGTCAGCGGCGATGGGCAAAGTCTTGATGGGGTGAGAGATAGCGGCTTAAGTGGCGGTTGCAGGCTGGGTAGTCACATGGTTAGATGGCTGCTTAGGTGTTTGTGGTACTCGCACACGGAGCAGGGTCCAAGTGTGTGGGAGGATGGCCAGTGTGCTCTCTCTGCTGGGGGTGGAGCCTGGGCCCATGTCCGCCCAGGGTTTCTTTTCTGGACAGGACAGCCTGTGTAGCTATGTGAAGCAGGTTGGCCTTGAACTTGCAGCAAGCCTACTGTTGTGTCTCAGGTGCTGAGATTACAAGCAGGAGCCACTCTGGCTGGCTCTGTGGCCTTCTCTTCCTCAAACACAGCCCTTCCTGGTGCGAGGTTCTGCACAGCCTCCCTCTGTGCCTGTAAGGCTGGGAAAAGGTGAGGCCTTAGCAAGGCCCTTCATGACCCACCCAGGCTTCCTCCCCTGTGCTCCGGAACCTTGCCCAAGCCTCTTCACTCTTGCTGCCAGAGGGAGGCAGAGGCGTGTGCTCTGCAGATCCCTCACTTTTGCTGGGGGGGGTCCATGAGACCCTAATTCCTTCTCTGTCATCTGCCTGAGGCTCTCAACTGCTAGTACTCTGAGAGTAGGCCACCAGAGGACTCGTGTGAGTCAGCCCTCTCCTGCTGACATGGGTGTCCCAGGGACTGCGCGTGGCTCACCTGGCTTGGCAGAGTGTGGCTACCCACTGTGCCCCTTCAGTGCCCAGGCAGCCATCTCTTTCTCTCTGGAGACAGGCTCTCACTCTGTAGCCATGTCTGGCCTCAAAACTTGTATTCTGGTTTATGTACCAGGCTGCATTTTGTTCAACTCTAGGGATTTTCAGCTCTCATTGAACAGGGCCCTACAAAAGGCTGCCATGTGTTTTGTTTTGAGACAGGGCTTCTCTGTGTAGCACGGGCTGTCCTGGACTCGCTTTGTAGACCAGGCTGGCCTGGAACTCACAGCAATCTGTCTGTCTGCCCGAGTGCTGGGCTTAAAGGTGTGCGCCACCACGCCCAGCTGCTGGCATATGTTTAATGACTGCAACTTGGTGCCTGTCTTGTATGGTGGTGGAAACTGCCTGTCACCCTCTGCTCTGCCGTCACCCACACTGTGGTTTTAAGCAGTTAGGCCCTGTATCCTGGGGGCCACACCTACCTGCATGTGGTGTTGACATCAGCCCGTGGGGCCAGCTGTGCCTGTCCTCTTGCACCACAGACTGCCATATCCCAGCCAATACATAGTGTGAGTCCCTGGCTGGAAACTGGTCTGTTCTGCCTTGGACAGGGTGAGGATGTTTTCAGCTGTATGCAAGATCACTAATCCCCGAACTGTTTCCAGAAACAAACAAGGGTCAAGAAGATGTGTGGTGGTGCCCAGTGACAGGAACCATTTGGTGTATCTCTCTGGGATGTAGCTCCAGTCATCAACCTTAGGACGAGTTTAGGTGTTGAAGGGTCACCTCTTCCTTTTGGCTGGGATGAAGTCTTACGATGTATCCCAGGGTGGCTTTGAACTTGCAGTTTTCTTGCCTCCACCTGAAGACATCAAAGTATTTCCTAGGTGCCCACAGTGGCATACCCCACAGCCCTAGGAATTGGGAGCCTGAAGCAGGAGGATCCCCAAGTTCAGGATTAGCTTGGGCTACAGGAGAGACCCTAATTAAAAAATGAAAGCGGGGCGTGGCTGTGCCCTCTGTAATGGTGACGTTTGTGTGGAGAAGTGAAGGCGAAGGCTAGAGGTCTGGAAGCTCCCAGGGGTGGCCTGGGGTGGTGTGCAGGAGGAAGAGGGTGACAGAACCTGTGCCAGAGCAAGAGGGCCGTGCCCCGCCCAGAGGCGGCCCCTACCTCCACACACGGTGCCCTTACTGCACACAGGCACGCACACAGGCAGCAGTACTTGGGAAGCTGAAGCAAGTGTCCTGGGTTAGAGGGTAGCCGGAACTATGCTGTGGTGCTAGGCTGGCCTATGGAGTCAGAGTGCTCTCAACTCCAAATAAAAACGAGGCTCATGATGGATGACTTGAGGTGAGGCCTTCTACCCCAGTAGGTGAACTGGAGGGCATGATTTTATTAGACAGATGGCTGGAACTCGGGCTTCCCTGCAGAGAAAACTAGGCATCCCCATTGAAGGTAGGTGTGTGTGTGTGTGTGTGTGTGTGTGTGTGCGCGCGCTGCGAGGTGTGCATACTCTCAGGTTTGCTCAGTGTGGGACTTGGGCTCCTGTGAATCAGAGGCCACTGGTTGGTGACCTGGGAGCCAGGTCCCGGGTGGGGCAGCTCTCAACCAGTCTGTCACCTAGCCTTTCACACACAGCTGGCCATGGGTTGGGAGCTCCATGTAGCACTTGTCCAGGCCTGCAGGCTGAGCCCCCAAAAGTCCTTGGGAAAGTGGGGTGTTTGTGGGGCCCTCCTTCCCTTCAGACCCCTCCCCAGGGCCTGCTTCCCGGAGGAGCTGGGTTCTTCCCCAGAACCCATGATTCACTCCTGCTAGGGCCTTTTCACTTCTGCTTTGGGGCTAAAAATACAGACACCAAGGAGTCTTGGCGAGCAGGCCTCCCCACACATTGCACAATGCCCCCGGCAGAGCGCTCTGCTGACGCAGGGTCGAATGGGGGCCCACGGTGCTCCTAGGTTGTGTGTGCTGAGGTCAGGACCTGCGTTTCTGCACTTCCCTTTTCTGGGCCAGGAAGTCCATTCCTGTAGCCGCAGGTGACCCAGACATTTTGATTTCCCTAAAATACATGCGATCTCCAGCTCAAGACTAGCTCAGCTACATAGTGAGACACCATTTCAAAAAGAAAGTGAGAGGCAGAATTGGAAGGAGATGGATTGAAAAAAAGGATCCCACATACAGGAGCAGACTGAGGAAGGCCTACAGACCCAGGTGGGAGGTAGAGGCCCTAGAACAGAGGTCCAGTGTACTTAGGGCAGGGGCAGAGTGGGTTGTGGCAGCAGACGGGAGGGCCCGACTCGCACCAGGTCTCTGCTGCCCCCTGCTGGTTTCCGCCTTACTGTGTGGCAAGTGAAACAGAAATGGGAAGCACCTGTTTTGCCTTAAGCCATACTTCATTCTGTCCCACCCCCCCCTCAGAGGCTGCCCCCAGGGCCAGCTGAGGGTGCGGTGGTCTTGCCAGTGACCTTGTTGGCACAGTCCAGCAGGGCAGTGTGAATGTCTTTGGCACAGGTAATCTGGGCTTTGATAACAGCCAGGTACTGTGGGTAGGGCAGGCTGTCCGGCTGCACTGCGTCTGGCTTGGTGGCCGTGGGTACCAGTGTTGGAGAGTGCTTCGCGCTGTCACAGCTCTGTGAAAGGCACTCGTGGGCCAGGCGCTGTGGAAGGCAGGAAAGAGAACAGCAGCATCACTTCCAGGCGCCCGCAAAACCACATCCACCCCCGACCTGGGGTTAACCTGATTGGCTCTGGGTCTCCAAGGTTAGAGTCTGGCCTGGCCAGCCTCTTGCTGGGTCAGCCAGGATACGTAGCTGCAGCCCTCTGGGACTCGGCTATGAAGTGCTTTCGCTGTTGTTTAGGTCACAGACTTGCTTTGCAGGCAGACAAGGCTGTCCTCTAACTTTTTACCCTACTGCGTCATCCTCCTGAGAGCTGGGCTTACGGGTGTACACAACTGAGCTGGTCAGACAGGTAAAGGTGCTGTTCCCAAGCCTGAGGACCTGAGTTCTGTTTACCCGTGACTCACACAACCAAAGGAAGGAATCAGCCACTCGCTGTGTGTACTCTGGCCCCTGCATGTGCTCAGCTGACATGCCCCGCCCACAACAACATGCAGTAGCTTTACACCACAGCCAGTTCCTTAAATGGATAACCTCCTCCTGTCTGGTGAGAGCGGGTGCAGACGTGTGAAGCAGGATACGGCGCTACCCCAACTGCTGAGCAGCAGCTGTTGCTGCTCCTGTCCCGACACCCGGCCTTGGTCTCCACTCCCGTGACAGCGCCTGGTTCCTCCCAAGGCTGCCACTCTCCCCAGGGGGCAGGTCCCTCCCGGCACCTCAGCCCCCAGACTTCCACCGCCTCCCCAGACTGCTGCTTCTCTGGCTCCTTGTCTCAGAGCTGACTCCCTTGGTAGGAGTCCTCCTCCTAATCCAGCCAAAATAACTCCATTTTGCAACACAACTCCAGTTAGCTGTTCTGTGCAGTGAAACAGTCCTTCCCACGGCTAGACAGGACTTGCTGAGGCCAGCAAAAACCCTGATAAGAGGCAGGCGTGGGGGACCTGCCAGTACTCCCAGCAACTGAGGTGGATCAGCAGGTTCACAGTTCAGCCAGCTTACTTTAAAAAACAAACAAAACAGGAAAACTGAGGCCAGTGCAGGAAAACTCAAACTTCAGTGGTGCGGCTGGTTGTCCCCACCGTCAGTGGCTCAAGAGCTCACATCACCACGCTGGACTCTGAACCCAGCAGCCTCTGTTCCTGTGCCCTCATTTGGAGGGTGAACAGCTGCTGCTGCTGTAGCTCCAGAGAAATCATTTGACACCCTTCCTAATTCCAAACACAGTCCCAGCACTCACCCTCCTCCCTACTTCCTCATCCTTCCCCAACAGTCTGTCAGTTCTCACAGTGCTGCCACTGACTGTCCCCTCGCGCCCCCCCCCCCCCCCCGTCAGAAAGGAACTGGACCCAGGCCTTTCCTCCCTCCACGCCCCAGCACTCTCCAGTGCACTGGGGTCACCTCCAGTCTAGGGAGACCCACCCTACCCCTCAGCAGTCCACTGCCGCTCCTGGAGGGAGCGGTGTGAGTGTGGCACTGGAGGGTGAAGCCACGGCTTTCCTTGCCCTAGATAAACTCTCTCAGCTAGATCCCCAGGCCTCTTTCTTCTCTTTTCTCCAAACAGGCTTTGCTCCTAGCCCAGGCTAGCCTGGACCTTACGGTAGTCTTCCTGCACCAGCCTCTCAAGTTAGTATCAGCTGGGAAGCACCATGCCTAGCTCTTTTTACCTGAAAAGGAAGCTTACCTAGTCGTCCAGACAGGTCTTGAACTTTGACCCTCCTGCTTCTGCCTCTTAAGCAGCTGGGAAAATACCAGCAGGCTTGGTCGCTTAAGGGAATTTTTGTGTGTGTGCTCACATGTGGGTGAGGCCGCATGGCCAAAGGTCAACCTCATATGTTGTTCCTCAAGACCTGGGTGCCCCTCCCCCCTTTTTGGAGACAGATCTTTTACTGGGACCTGGAGCTAGCCAGTTAGACTGGGCTGGCCAGCTGCTAAGCCTCAAAGTCCCAATTATCTCCATCTCTCAGCACTGGGATGACAGGTTCTGCTTTCATGCCCAGCTTTTATGTGGAACTTAGGGACTCATGGCCAACACCTTCCAACTACACTACCTCCTCAGGGTTGCTCCCATCCCCCACCCTCCTGGCCTGTGCTCCATCATGGAGCTTCCCTGCCTGCGCACTCAAGTCTCCTGTGTTTCGCCCTGCTCCCAATCAGCCAAAGTTCCAGCCTCAAGCTCATGGCGGTCCCTGGTGACATAGGACAGGTCCCCAGGGCCTCCCCTCAGGGCCTGTGGTTGCTGCCCTTCCAGGCAGACTGTCTGGTGAATTCTTTGCTCCACCAGTGGCCTTCTGGGAGTCACTCTCTCCCTACTTCCTCATCCTACAGAGCTTGACCACTCTGGTCCAGACCTCTATCATATAGCCTTGACCACTCTGAGCTGTCCCTCTTTGGTCTGTGTTACTCCACTGAACTAGCAGCTCTGTTGGCAAGAGGCAGGAAGACAGAGCCCCCAGCACCAGCTCAAGCGCCTATCCGGCACAGAGGAGGTAACCAAGGAGTGACCAGCTGACTGGCTGGCCACGGTGGGTGCATTACTCAGAATTTGGAGGAAGGGTCACTGTAAGGCCTGCTGAGTCCCGGTGTCAGGAGAGCCTTGACTACTGAGTGATGCTACCTCACAGCACCTTTCTAAAAATGTTCCTGCGGGGAACTAAGCAGGGCCTGGTCACAGAGTATTTCACAGAGTGTCTCACCAAGCAGAGCTCCAACTGATCACAGAGCGCGTAGAACTCCTCCAGACATTTGTCGAAGCGCTGTATGGGTCCGTCGCTGCTCTTTCTGCAGCCAGGAAAAAAGAGTGTTTCAGGAAAAGTTTCCAGTCTCTGGCACAGTAAGCGACCACCAAGAAATTAAACCCAGGCCCAGGAGATCCAGGGAGGGCTTAAAGAGGAAGAGGCAGGGCAAAGGGGGAGGCATTTCCAAGGTTGAGGTGGGGCTCTGGGGCAGAGGGGAGTCACTCACTGTCCGTTGTCGATGTTAGTGTTCTGGATCAGGTTCTGGGCTGCTACCTTCATCAAAGTCTAGATAAAAAGACAGTGAGAGAAAAGTAAGACACGGGAGAAGACGCACAAGGAGGACCCACGCTCATGACAACCACAGTCCTTTCCAGCTGGCAGCTCAGTCCTGATGATACAGGCGAAAGCTCACGGCCGCCCCGACAGCAATCTCTCCTGGTATCTTCCCAGAGGCCTGCTGTCATTTGGACATCTCGACAGTCATTTCCTGAGCATGCCCTTTACCAAGTCATCCTGGGCAGAAATGACGCCCCGGCTGTCTCCCGCACGGAACTTAACGACCAGAAGGGTTTCTCTTTCCTCTCTCTCGCCCCCCCGCCCCCTCTCCCTTTTCTTTTGCTTTTTCAAGACAGGGTTTCTCTGCGTAGCCCTGGCCGTCCTCGAACTCAAGAGATCCGCCTGCCTCTGCCTGCCTGAGTGCTAGGATTACAGGCGTGTGACCCCCACGCCTGGGTCCCCCTGCCGTTTTATTCAAGACGGGGTCTCTCTGTGTAGCCCTGGCAGGCCTGGAACTCGCTCTGTAGACCAGGCTGGCCTCGCACTCAGAGATCCTTCTGCCTGTTAAGAGCGTGCCACGACTACGGCCGGCCAGCGCTTCGCTTTGGGCAGACACACGCGCCCCTCCGCTCCCCGCGGCGCGCGGCCGTCACCTGGAGACTCTCCTTCAGCTGCGGGATGAGCATCTTGTAGCGCTGCACGGGGTCGAAGTCCTGCTGCTGCTGCTGCAGCAGCCCGCTCTGGGCAGGGCCCACCAGCTGCGTCGGTTGCGGCTGCTGCTGGGGACCCGGGCCACCGGCCGAACTCGGACCTGACACACCGGCAGCAGAAGAAACGGCCGAAGCCTGCGGCTGGGGCGCAGCCATTTTGGTCCGCTGGAACGCCGGAAGTGCGTCACAAGCGCGACTGCCCGGTGCCTCCTCCTCTTCGGTTGGCTCTGCCTTGCAGACGGCTTAGCCAATGGGAGGAGAGGCTGTGCGTGGGCCTCGGCCGCCTCAAATCCGCGGCCAAGCCTGGGATATCGTTTGACCAATCAGAGGAGGCGGTCTCCCGTGTCCCCGCCCCCTCGCCCACAGCCCGCCAATCGCTGCGAGGGACTGAGTCCGCTGTATTTCCCCGAAGGCCTTGCGGCTCGAAGCGACCTGTCCGCTCCACGGCGTCTCAGTAGCCGCCGGAGTGGGAGCTGCGAGTCCACGTCCGGCGCTGCCCGCGCTTTTCCCCGAGTGCAACCCGAGCCCTTCATCCAGCCTTTCCCCGCGGAGCCCGGCGTCCACGGGAGCCTGTCCTCGGGTCCGGCGTCTCCAAGTCGGCACGCCCCTCAGCGTCCGCCCGCGGCCGGCGAGGACGCAGTCGGCGCCGCCGTCGCCTGGTCGCGATGGCGCCCACCATCCAGACTCAGGCCCAGCGGGAAGATGGCCACAGGTAGGTCCCCTGCCCCCTGCCCTTCCCTCTCATGCTGGGAGCTGCAGGCCGGGGCCCCCGCTACGATGTCGCGCAGCGCTCACCCCTGGCGAAGGGGCGGCCCCTCGGGGCCCCTGCGGTCACTCCTGCTCCCCTTCCATCCAACTTCGGAATCCCACCTTGGGTTCTCAGGAAGGGACCTAGTCCTCAGTCCCCTTATTTGAAGCAACAGGATCCCCCTGCTAAGCGGATGAGCATCTGGCTTCATGCACGAAGCAATCACCCCTTCCGAAATTCGGGGACGCTTCTTTGCACTTTGACGCTGTCAAGCCCTTGACATCAGCCTCTCTTCTCCCCCCCACCAGGCCCAATTCCCACCGGACTTTGCCTGAGAGGTGAGCCCCGCTGCGCTTCCCTGGAGGGGTGGGACGCGGTGGCAGGGCCCTTTGTGTGTGCGCGCGCGCGTGCTTGTGCTTCCGAGAGTCGCATGAAGTGGCCCGGACTGGCCTCAACCTCGCTGTCTTCTTGCCGCAGCCTCCTGGGTACTGGGATCGGAGGCCGATGTCCGTGCCCAGCAGCAGAGGCCTAGTTTTTTTGTTTAAAAACAACTTTGTGTGCACATACCCCAGCTGTGTGTGGCAATCAGAAGACTTGTTATAGAGTCCCTTCTTCTACCATGTCAGTATAGGCCTGAGATATTAAACTGGGGTCCACAGGCTTGACAGCAGGCACCTCTACCTGCTGAGCCATCTTGCCAGCCTGTAGCTGTTTGTGGTTGCTTTGACATAGTTTTTTTTGGTTTTTCAAGACAAGGTTTCTCTGTGTAGCCCTGCCTGTCTTCCAATTCTCTCTGTAGAGTAGGCCTCAAACTCAGAGATCACCTGCCTCTACAGGGCAGGGATCAAAGGGGTGGGCCACCGATGCTGTCACCACCACTGCCCGGCATTATTATTTCTTTTGATAGATGGTTTTCACTCTTATCCCTGACTGGCCTGGAACACATTATGTAAACAACCAAGTAGCCTAAAGTCTCAGTGATCTGTCTGCCTCCCAAGTGCAGGGATTAAAGGCCTATGCCACCAACTTCAGCTATTTCCACTATTTATAATTAGGTGTGAGTATGCGCACGTTTGTGCAGCTGCTTACAGAGGCCACGGGTGTCGGAGCGCCTCAAATCTGGAGTTACAGGTGGTAGTCAGTAGGCTGATGTGGGTGCTTGGAACCAAACTTGGGGCCTCTACAGGATAAATATTCCCTCTTAACTGCTAAGGCATCTCTGTAGGCCTGTGAGACCTAGTTCTGAGCCAGTGTTTTCCTAGGTCTGGAGTGGTCTGCCGAGTCAAATACTGCAATAGCCTTCCTGACATCCCGTTTGACCCCAAGTTCATCACCTACCCCTTTGACCAGAACAGGTAAGACTGAGCTCAAGGACAGAGAAACTATGAAATAGTTCAGTGAAGGTAAGGGCTGCTGCTTTCATCACATCTTCCTCCCTTGGAAATGTTTAATAAGTACTAATAGAGAAAGCAGCCTGCAACACCTTTTTTACTGAGAAGCTGCCAACTCTGGGAGCAATGAAAGCTGAGTTCCTTTCCATAGAAGCTTAGCTTCTAGGAAGGGTAGTTGTGGGTCATGAGGATGGATCAGGAAAGTACAACAGGCATGTGTTCCCACCCAGGTTTGTTCAGTACAAAGCAACTTCTTTGGAGAAACAGCACAAACACGACCTCCTGACTGAGCCAGACCTGGGGGTCACCATCGATCTCATCAACCCTGACACCTACCGCATCGATCCCAATGGTGTGTGGGGAGGCAGGGAGGGTCTGCTCTAGGCCAGCAAAGGCCAGGCCTGGGCATCCCTCATGGTCCTCCTGCCCCTCACCCCCTAGTTCTTCTGGATCCAGCTGATGAGAAACTTTTGGAAGAGGAGATTCAGGCGCCCACCAGCTCCAAGAGGTGAGGCAGTACCACATGGGGACTGGGTGGGCTCTGTCAAACATGGGACCCTGAGGTGCCTGGTCTTCTTTTCCAGATCCCAGCAGCATGCGAAAGTGGTGCCATGGATGCGGAAGACAGAATATATCTCCACTGAGTTTAACAGATATGGCATCTCCAATGAGAAGCCTGAGGTCAAGTAAGTACAAACAGCAGGAAGGGAAGAGGGCAAGACTTTCGGGTGTCCAGAGACCGACCCTTAATGACTTTCTCTTCATTCCTAGGATTGGGGTATCAGTGAAACAACAGTTCACAGAGGAAGAAATATACAAAGACAGGGACAGCCAGATCACAGCCATTGAAAAGACTTTTGAAGACGCCCAGAAATCGGTAATTGGGGGAATGGGAATAAAGGCAAAAGTGTAGCTCAGGTTCTTCCTCTTTCTCACGCTTTTTGTTCTGCCAGATCTCCCAGCATTACAGTAAGCCCAGAGTGACTCCGGTGGAAGTCATGCCCGTCTTCCCAGACTTTAAGGTCAGTCTCAGTGGAAGGCGGGCAGCCTCCTGTGCCTGTCCATCCAGTGCAGACTAACTGTAGTACCTCCGTTTGCCAGATGTGGATCAACCCATGTGCTCAGGTCATTTTTGACTCAGACCCAGCCCCCAAGGACACGAGTGGGGCAGCCGCATTAGAGATGATGTCTCAGGCCATGATCAGGTCAGTGGTCCTGCTTTCCACCTTGGCCTCCTTGTGGCCTCTCCCGTGTTTGGGTGTTTTGAGATAGGGCATGATCCTGCTGTCCAGGCTGACCTCCAACTCCTGGCATTCCTCATGCCTTACCCTCTGGAATGTTAGAGGCACATGTTACCACACCTTCTTTGCCTTTGACCTTTTCCTCTTCCCTCCAACCAGGGGCATGATGGACGAGGAAGGGAACCAGTTTGTGGCTTACTTTCTCCCTGTGGAAGAGACACTAAAGAAACGAAAGCGGGACCAGGAGGAAGAGATGGATTATGCACCAGATGATGTGTAAGTGGCTTAGGGTTAGGTTTTGGAATTCAGAGGTATGTCTCCTTTACTCCTCGAGGAACAAATGGGCTGCCCGTGTACCTTCTCCTCAGGTACGACTATAAGATTGCTCGGGAATACAACTGGAATGTGAAGAACAAGGCCAGTAAGGGCTACGAAGAGAACTATTTCTTCATCTTCCGAGAGGGCGATGGGGTTTACTACAATGAGCTGGAGACCAGGTACTCAGCACTGTTTCCGTAGTTTGCCGCTTTTTGAGATCATGGAAGAACTACCCTGAGGTTGTGTGAAACCTAAGGATTTTTGTGTTTGTGAAAGCAGCAGGAGCCTACTCATGTGGGCTGGCCCAGTGCTGCCTCTAATACCATGAACCTTCACAAAATGATTGGATATAAACCCAATCATTTTCCTTACACATGCTAGGCAAGTGCTCTTCTATAAGATACATTGTGCTCTCAACAGTTTTAGTAGTTGTTATATGTGATGTGTTTATGTTCATGGGCGTACACATACGTGGAGACCAGAGGTTGCTATCAGCTTTCCTTTGTTGCTCTTATTTTGGGTGGATGCCATGGCATGCATGAAGTCTGCATAACTTGGAGGAAGTTAGTCTTTCCTTCCACCTTTACCCACCCCCCAACCCTTCAGCAGGTTTTAATTACTTGACTCAACTTCCAAAGTGTCACCTCAGAACTCTTCTCTGGGGACTGAAAGCTAACTTGTCCTGGTGCCTGTGGTTTTTCTGCTCAGTACAGAGAGGGCAGGCTCTGATCCTGTTGTCTGGCTGGAGATGTGAAAACAGGCAGGGTGACAGCACAGCATTACAGTCCACCTTCAGTCCACTGCTCTTACTATTTAAAAGCCAGAAACCCAAAAATTGCCATTTTCTTGTTTTTGATTTGGTAAGGAGCCTTGGGAAATGGCTCCGCAGTGAAGAACGCTGGCTGGCTACTCTTCCAGGGGACCCTGTTTCATATCCTGTACCCACATAGCAACTAACATCTGTTCACGCTAGTTGCCAAGAGAATGTGGTGCCCTCTTCTGGCTTTTGAGGGTACTGTACACACAGCACGCAGACATAAATGCAGGTAAAACACAGCAAATCCTGAAGAGCCTAAAACCAGGCTGGACAGAGGGCTCAGTGGTTAAGAGCACTGTCTGCTCTTCCAAAGGACCCGGGTTCAATTCCCAGCACCCACACGGCAGCTCACAACTATCTGTAATGCCAATTTCAAGGGATCTGACACTAACGCACATAGGAAAAAGAAAACAAAACCCCAAACCAAAGACTGGGGCGAATCAAACCACAGACATTAGCTCTTACATACACTGCACGCATACATACTCTCTCTTGGCTCTGGGCGTGCTCTGACAGGCGACACCTGAGATTGGTCCCAGTGGAGTCTAACTGAATCTTCCTCTTTCTGCAATGGTCCACTGCAGGGTCCGGCTTAGTAAGCGCCGAGCCAAGGCTGGGGTTCAGTCAGGTACCAATGCCTTGCTTGTGGTCAAACACCGTGACATGAACGAGAAGGAATTAGAAGCCCAGGTAACAAGCTCCACTGGCCCAGGATAACCAAAGGGTAGGTGGGGGAGGACAGGGTCAGAGGTCTGACAGAATACCGCCCATCACCTTCCCAATTTGCTCGTTCCAGGAGGCACGCAAAGCCCAGCTGGAAAATCACGAACCGGAGGAAGAGGAGGAGGAAGAGATGGAGGCCGAAGAGAAAGAAGCTGGGGGCTCAGGTAAAGGACGAGCCACATCCTGGGAGTGCTGGGAGAGTGGGCAGTGGGACTCACCAGTCATTGCTTTCTCACAGATGAGGAGCGTGAGAAGGGCAGCAGCAGTGAGAAGGAAGGCAGCGAGGATGAGCGCTCTGGCAGTGAGAGTGACCGGGAGGAGGGCGACAGGGATGAGGCAAGTGACAAGAGTGGCAGTGGTGAGGATGAGAGCAGCGAGGATGAAGCTCGTGCTGCCCGGGACAAGGAGGAGATTTTCGGTAGCGATGCTGATTCAGAAGATGATGCTGACTCTGATGAGGAGGACAGAGGGCAGGCCCACAGGGGCAGTGACAATGACTCGGACAGTGGCAGTGATGGTGGTGGCCAGCGGAGCCGTAGCCAGAGCAGGAGCCGCAGTCGGAGTGCCAGCCCCTTCCCAAGTGGCAGTGAGCACTCAGCTCAGGAGGATGGCAGTGAAGCTGCAGCTTCTGATTCCAGTGAAGCGGACAGTGACAGTGACTGAGCCTCAAAACGATTCCAGTGAAGCCAGCAGACACCATTCTTAGGGCAGGGAAGCACTTTTCTAGTTGTCCGTTTCGTGAGCCCTTTGTTTATCCCTACCTTCAATCTTTGCTGTTAATAAAGCTAACTTCTCTTGACTTCACCTCCCCGAGCCTCTGTTCCCCTTCTCCCCAGACCCACCTGAAGGTGCTCAAGGATCTCCACTTGGAGCACAGAAGCAAGTCCCCATGGATTTCCCAGGAAATGAAAAACAAAAATCACAAATCTTTTTGGTTTTGTTGGTTTTTTTTTTTTTTTTTTTTTTTCCAAAATAAGCCCAGACCATTAACAATTCAAACTCCAACAAATAAGTCTTCTCCAACAGCGAGAAAAATGTACAGTTACTCAAAGCTGATTCTGCCAGTGGGGCTGGGGACAGAAATAGGTAGGGTAGGGTGAAACCATGGAGGGGCCTAGGGGCGGGAGGGTCAGGGTCCTGCCTGTCAGAGTGGGGCCGCCTGCGTCCTGCACTCCGCTGTCGGGTGGGGGAGGTGTCCCTCATCACCTTTCAGTGCCAGGCAGGGTCAGTCACCCTGATGGGAAGTGAACAAGACAAGACTAGACCGGCTTGTGGAGGGAAGGGTCCTGCATATTCTAAACAGGTGGCCTTTCACCCCACTTCCCACAGCCGGTGGGAGAGGCCGGAGCAGCCCAGGAGTTAGAGAGGGAAATGAGCAAAGGCACAGAAACCTGGAGGGCCGGGGTGGGGACTTGCATAGGTTGATGAGTGTGCAAGAGGTACATAAATACACCTGACACCCCGCCCAGCCCGGCACTGGGAGAGGTGGTGGGGACCACAGGCAGGTCCCCAGTGCCACTCTACCCCCTGGCTTCTTCTCCCTCCCTGGGCTCGGAGCAGGGGAGGTCCACAGACCAGGAGGCAGGGGCAAGGTCTGGGGGAAATGGGCTGATAGTGCAGGGAAGGCTGTGGTTTTCTTTTTTTTTTTTTCTTTTCCTTTTTTTTTTTTTTTTTTGTTTTTTTGTTTTTTCCCAACATTTTGTATCTTTAATAACATACACAATGGTTACCAGCCATAGTCATAACAAAAGTTATTCATAAAATGTATCTAAAAATAACATTTTTTTTCCTTTTCGTGTGAAAAGCTTGAGAATGTCCCAATGAGGGTGTAGGTTGAGGGGGGAAGAGGAGTTTGGAATAGGGGACCCTGGCTTCCCCACAGCCTGAACCCCAAATTCCCTCCCTCCACCTGGGCCCCAGCACCAGCCCTCATCAAGAACGGGGAGCAGAGCAAGGTTGTGTGACTCAGGCTGGGCTGCACCTCTGGGTTATGACATAGTGTTCCACCTACATGAGGTCATGACATAATGGGGTGTCAAAGGCTGACGGAAAGGAAGGGGAGGCAAGAAAACAAAACCCAACAACTCCTTTTCCCTGGTTCCTACCCACAAGTCTTTTGCCAACAGACCTGAGGAACAGAGAAGGGTTATGTTGGTGGGGGAGGGGACATTAAGGCAACAGACTTCCTGACCTCACTGCGGGCCGGGGCTGCCCACCTTCAACCTCTGCATCTGGGAGCCGGGGCTGGGATGGGGACGGGCAGGGGGGTCTGGAGGAGGGGGCTCCGCCCTCTCTTCTCATAAACTTCAGGCTCCCCCTGCCACAGTCCTGGCTCAGAGAGAGGCCTGGGGATTCTAAAAATGACAGGGAATGATCAGAGAAAAACCGTTAACTATATAAATATGTATCTTAAATAGGCCTAAGAAATTAATTGTAGAGAACCTCTGATAACAGGGCAGGACGGGGAAGAAGATGGTGCCTGTCTGGGGAATGGTGGGATGAGGTGTAGGGTAGGGAGAGGGCTCTTCTCAGTGACATACTAGTGCTGCACGCTGCTCACTGTTCACGCCCCAGTCATGTTTCTGAGGGGCAAGCTGCACAAGGTGGTGGTCGGTTTGTTTCTGAGGAAGACTGCTCTCCTGGGGAAGGACAGCTGTCTGTAGGAGGCAGGGGTAGGATAGGGCCAGGGTGGGGGTTGGGAGGGAAGGGGCAGGCAGTCTGGCCAGTCTTTGCCCCTTGCCCCTGGCTGCCCTCTCTGTCCCCCGGCCTCAGCCGAGATCCCTCAATGGGCCTGGGAGTGAGCAAGGCGTGTGCCAATGTTAAACAAAAGTTAAGAGGATGAGTAGAAAAATATCAGAATGTATAGCTGCACCAGCCCACCCTCTTGCTGCCGAGGAGAAGCCTGTTGGGGGATGGCCCCCGCCCGCCGCCCGGGGAGCCTATGGGTGCGCTGGGCTGTGGGTCCCGTCAGATGGTGGAGGTTTTGTCTGTCCCATCTGTGTAAGAAAGGGAGGAAGGGAGGAAGATCAGGAGATGGTGGGAGGCCCAAGGAAAGGCATTCACATAGCCTGTCATCCCAGGCGGGCCCTCCCTGGAGTCTGGCCTCCCCTTGGGACCCTCAAGATGGCTCCAATTTGCTGGGTTCAGAGCTGGAGATGCTGGGTAGGTGGGAGCTAGGTCAGGGGAAGAGGAAATGCTCACCACCCAAGGCGTGTTCTGTCATGCTCAGACACAGAGACTCCAGGGTGGGATTGATCTCCAGGTCAGGCCCAGGTACTGGGCAGTCTGAGTGGGAGAGAAGAAAATAGTGGTGGTGAGAAGGGAAATAAGGAAGGGCTGGGAGAACACTGGCATGGGGTTGGGGCCAAGAGATAATGAGCTTAGAAAGTATGCATACAAAGGGTGGGAGACACTGCTGGAAGGTGACAAAGACAGACCTAGGGTGTCACAGAGCAGGTCGGGAGACAGCCCAAGTAGGGGTTTGGCAATGCAGACAGAGGAAGTGATGTGAAACTGAGGGAGCATTCCTGGAGGCCACACACAGGCTTTGCCTATTTTAGACATGGACTCCAAGTTGCCTTGGGCAATTTGGGCACCTGCCCCAGATACTGGGCAGCTTCTTGCTGACTGATGGCCCACCCTCTACGTGTGGTGTAAAAGCTAAAGCCTTTTCTACGCTCACCTCGGCTTGCTCTTCCAGACACTGTGCAAGCCAGGCAGGCTGAACAGGTGGCTCAAAAAAGGACAGCTGCCATGGAGCCTGCCCTCAAAGCACTTCTCAGAAGGAACTGTGCAGGAGCTCAGGTGCCACACTGCTGAGCACTTTGCCTCATCTGAGCTTCTGGCTCCTATTTCAAGCCTCATTTTTCACCCCCATCTAAGCCCCAAGGTTAGGTCCCAGGAAAACCGTTTCTCTTAAAAACAAGCTGAGTGATAACAGGTGAGGTGAGAACAGACTTGGACACCCTTCCCATGAATTGTCAGGGAGGGCTCCATCCAACAAGTACAGGAAGGCTGCCTGATGGGCTGGCACACTGGCTGGAACAATTCCTACCTTTCATACCTATGGTGCACCCATTCACTCAATACCATTTACACAATATATGCCCAGTGGCCAAGCCCTGCCCTAGGTTGAACACACTCTCTGGCACCACAGACATAGGCCTACAGTATTTCATCAACTCAAAAACTCCACCGGCTACAAAGTTTCTGACTGCAAGAACTTTAGGTCACCTGCAAATCGAAGCCCTCTCCAGAGCAGCCCACTGAGGCAGCACCCTGTCACAGATGTCATGCCTAGCCCAAGCATGCAGGGGTACAGCAGACAGAAGTCACCCCCTTGTCCAGTCAAGCAGGAACCCAGAGATAGCAGATTTTTGATCTGCCACTCAGCCCTCCTGAACCTCTGACCTCCAGGCTGATGTGAGCAGAGGAGAAAAGCCCACCTTCTCCACCCTCTCTCCATAGAGCCTCATGAAGAGGTAGAGTCACTGGTTTGAGCGTCACCAGCCTCTGACAGAACATAGGCATGCTGACAGGTCACAACCTCCTCCACAAAATCCTCACTGACCTCTCAGACTAACCCCTTCTGAGCGTTAAGTGAGCATATAAAAACACAGTGACAGATCAATATCAAAACGGAGACCATGGCACAGGGAAGGAAAGACATCCAAGCAGAGTGAGGTAAGATACTCAGGGAAGGGGAGAGAGCTGTGAAGACTCAACAGACACAGATCGCCTCTCACAAATGCAGGGAGATGAGAGACGGTGCACAGCCTGGAGAGACCTGCTACAAAGCCAGAACAACAGTGGGTGAGACTCAGGCGAGAAGGTTGGCCGGGCTGAGTGGCAGAGCAGGGCTCCTCACCTGGAGGGAACATGAGAACCGCCTGGGGCGATGGGTGAACGGGGAGCGAGTGAGTGCGTTGCACAGAGCTGCGGCTCTGGCTCGGCATGCTGTTGCTGCCTCCAGGGTTGGCAAACCACAGGCTCTGCACGGGACACGGGGAGAGAGTGTCATGGTGAGTGGAGGCGGCCAGGCCCAAACACATACCCAGGTTCTGCCACCTCAACCCCAGAAGCACTTGGACCTTAATACCAGCCGGCTCACCTGTCGGCCCTGACCCCCAAGACTGGGGCTGGTAAGGGCATGTCGAGGAGAGACGCCCCCAATGCCTGAAGGGCTCAGGAGGCCCATCCTGCCAGGTGGGAGGGCCCGAGGAGGCATGGGGAACTGCCGCTGGGTCCGCCGGGCCACACCCATCCCCACAGAGCCAGCTATGGGGAGCGAGTTGGAGCCAAATGCCCAGCTGTCAGAGAGCAGAGCACAGGGCATTAGCTTGGGTAGGAGGGGTGCGCGTCTCCTGTCCCTCCCACAACTCCAGTGGACAGTGCTCTGAGCAAGGATTCCCTTGCACCCTACATTTCTGTCTCCTCCTGACCCAAGATACACATGGGGAGCATAGAGAGGCTTCCTTGTAGTACCCGCAAAGCAGTTCTTCAAATGTAAAATTTTTGTTGTGAGAAGGGACCTCAGAGGTAAGGAGACAGAGGTACAGAAACATGGTCTACTTGACCAATATGTGCTGGGTTCTGGCCACCTCAGCATCCATGTGGGGCTGGGGACAGAAACCAGGGCCTTATGCATGGCAGGCAAGTTCTCTGTCCCAATGCCCAGCTCTGTTGGTTCAGACTCTAGCTGTTCTTCTTTGCTCTCTGTGCCAGAAGTCAGGGAATACTCCCTGTAGCTATTTCTCTCTGGGACCCAGAACGATAAGAAAGTGTACAGTGGGTCTGGAAGACAGCTCGAAGGTAACAGCGCTTGCCAACATGACTGACACCTGAGTTTGGGCCCTGGGACCTAAGATGGTGTGAGAACTGACCTTCATGTGAAGCACGCAGAGCAGGGGTGCACTCACAAATACACACAAAGAAATGCTGAGACCGAGCACTGTGCTGTGACCTCGCAGGCCCTCCCTCTAACAGCTCCAGAGCAAGTCCACCGTTCTCCCTAGTACCTACTTCTACTTACGTGCCCCATGCCACGTAAGCGACATCACATGGCATAAGGCTGCCCATCATCCTGAAACGTCTGCTATAGTCAGAACTTCACTTTGGTCTCCAGATCTGGAAGAAGCTCCCTCTTCCCTCCCTCCACAGCCCCACTGTGGCTGCCTATAACCATGGTACATTTCTCCAAATGAAGCCTCTCCGGCCTGAAGGCCTGCTCTCCCTCCTCAGGGTCCCATCACTGAAGAAATTCTTCTGGCCGAGCACGAAGGAGCACAGCCGTAATACCAGAACTCTGGGAGGCAGAGGCAGGTAGCTCTCTGAGGTTGAGACCAGCCTGGTCTACAGAGTAAGTCCAGGACAGCCAGGGTTACACAGAGAAACAAACAATTCTTCTGAAGGGTAATCGAATGTTAGTGTCTTTCCACCAAACAGACTCTCTTTCCACGAATCATAGAAATTTACTTGCCCCTGCTGGGATTAAAGTCCCGTGAAACATCACACTCACCCTTTCTTTCCTTTCTCCTTCCCTCCGCTTCTCTCTCCCTCTGATTTTTGTGAGACAGGTTTCTTTGTGTAGCCCTTCATATCCTCAAACTCAAGAGATCCAACTGCCTCTGCCTCCCACGTGCTAGGATTAAGAGTGTGCTGCCACATCTGGCCTTTTTTCTCTTTTAAGATGTACATCATCTTGATTTTCTAGAAACTCTATACTGGGTGGCTTGAGTGAGTAAAGCAGGGGGCACATTTCAGAACACAATCACCCTTTTAGACACCCACATGCCAACTCCATGGGCCTTGGGAGGTGCCCACCTACCCCTTCTGCTGCCGGTAGCTCTGCATGTCCAGCGCAGCTTTGCGAGGGAATGTCCGGAGGAGTTTCAGCACTTGCTGCTTCCAGGACAGCAGCCGCTTCTTCTGTGTCTCTGTGAAAGCCTAGAAAGGAGGAGGGGAAGGATGGACACAGAGGACCATGCCTACAGGTTAGCTGGGAGAAACAGGTACACAGTGGTAACTGAGTGCAGCCATCTCTCTGTGTGAGCAAGAAGAGCAAGAGGCAAGGAACCCTGAATCAGCAGGAGCATTTCGTGAGGTGACTTGGGAAACTTGAACAAATGCTGGCACCCAGAGCAGGGATGAGCAGCTAGGAGGCAACCACTCCCCACAGGGTGCGTACAAAAGCCTTTAAAGGCAACACTGAAGAGGACTGGCTGAAACCTGGGCCCTGAGAGGGGTGGAGTGGCCGCTTTCCCTCTTGGAAGCCCTATTGAAGGTCCTACCTCATGAGTCAGGCACTTTTCGATGAGCTGGAGGTAACTGGTGATGTTCTCCTCGTCTGGTCGGGACACCAGCAGCTGGGTGCATACTGAGGAGCATGGGAAAGGACAGAGCTTAGTCCCATACCCTCTGTCACACTGCAGCCACCCCAGTACCAGCTGGTGGGTACAGAGGGACAAGAAATTTGGGCTGGATGAGTCCCAACTCCTCGGCTTTGAGGGCAAGGGCTAGTACCATCAGCCCAGACAGACCTGCAGGAAGAGGCCTAGTCACACTCAGCTACTCCAAGGTTCCCCTTCAGGTCTTTAACAAAGAAGCACTGTTCCCTTTCTCTAACTTGGACTTGATCCCTGGTGTCTAGGTTCACCTGGTATTCTGCCTTAGGATTCTGAACTAGGCAGTGGCTGCTCCTACCTTTGCCCATCACCCGTGTAAACTGGCTGGGGATGTCTCCGTCGGCGACAGGAGCTGGGGCTGGCTCACTGCTATCAGCGGGGGCTGGAGCTGGTGGAGGAGGATAGTTCTCTGCAGCTGGAGGGTCCTTAGCCTCAGTGCCCGTGTCTGGTCCAGGGTGGGTGAGGGGAGGCTCAGCACCTGGCAGTAGCGGCTCCCCCCGGCCCCCATCCTTGGCAGTAGGGGTGGCCTGAAGGACACTGTAGGCCTTGATAGGGGTGATGATGATTTGCTGCAGTTCCTGCAGAGCATTCCGCAGATTGCCGCCTTCCAGCACATCCTGCAAGGAAGGACATAGCTAGGTCAGGCACAGACCCCACAGTGGCACAAAAAATGGCTACACTGTGTGGTCAGATGAGGCTCAGGGAAGTCCACATGGTATGCAAGGTTCCAGCAGAGGTCAGAGTAGGGCAGCTCTGACCTCAGTAGATAAACTCCTTCCCTCCAAGGAAGAAGCAAAGAATCAGACTAAGACAGCAAAGGAAGAGGAAGCAAGGAAAGAAGGAAAATAAATGAAAGCAGATTCAGGATTGAGTGGAAGAGAAATTCAACAACAACAACAAAAAAGATCGATTGTACTTCTGTAACTCACCCACAAAATTAAAAACCTATCAGATCTAGTGTTAAAAGATGGAGAAAAAAAAAAAAAAAAAAGATGGAGACATTCTAGAATCACAAACCAGGATGGTAGGAGTGGGGTGGGAGGAGGGGCAGGGAAAGAGGGTGGGAGGGACCCTCTCAGGCAGCAGCTAGTGAGCCCTTTGGTATCTTGTTCAAGGTCGCTGGAATCCAGCTGCCCATGGCTGGGAGCAGCAGAAGTCAGACTGCAGGAATGAGGAGGCCCAGGCAGCCGCCATAAAGGCTGACCCAAAGCCTTCCACATGCCCGACCACTGAGCCTTGCAGATGAGGAAACCAGGTCCTCACCTTCTCTAGGGACTTGAGGACGCTCTGTCTCTCACGCAGCTTCTGGATGCTCAGGGCTATCTTGTGCCGGGCACCTTTGGTGACATTCTGTGATGACGACAGAAGCAGACAAGAAGCTGAAAATAGGTGGAGTACACCGGGGTAGCCCAACAGACAGACGCAGATGGCAGGAACTACACCTAGTTTTGTTGGCCCACCACCTCCCAAGTGGCCTCTCAGATTCACCTGTGACTCTAGGTGCTGTTCAGTTAGGGTCATCATCTCTTCATAGCTCATCTGTGAGAACAGAGCAGCATACTTGTGCAAGCGGAGGCTCTTGAGCCATGAGGGCACATCTGTGGAATAGGAGGGAGGATGGGTCAGAAGACGGCTACTGGTGACCAGCATGGAATTGTGGGCACAGATCAGGCATAAGCCTTAGAAACTGCAGCGAGCTGGAAGGGACCAGAAGCTGTCCAGTGAGGCCCTTTTAGACAGCCTTTCCTAGGACACCTGACCCGCTGAGCTGTCAGGATGGCCTCCATGATTTATCTCATGAGCTTTTGCTAGCCACGAGGGCAAGGGGACTCCTTTCAGACACGTCCCTTCCCTGAGGGCAGCTATCGGCAATTCTCTGCCCTTCCAACCCAGCCCGGCCCAAGCCCTGGAGAAGGGTTTCTGGCACTGTCCTCTGGATGCACCTTTCATCCCGCTGCCATCCTCCTGGAAAGTGTTCCGGCTGGAGCCCTGCTCCTCCGTCTGCTCACTGCCAGAGGAGGCCACACTGCTCTGTGGCGAGAGGGGTGCGTGGTCGGGCGTGGTGAAAGCAGCCCGGGCCCCAAGCTCCTCTGGACTCGGCCACTCACCAGGGGCCTGAGGGCTCGTAGGGATGAGTGACATGGAGCGCTTCAGTGGGCTAGGGTGGATTTGGCAGGGGAGACCTGGCCAGAGAAGGAAAAGTGAGAGGTCAGGATGAAGGATCTGAGCATAAAAAAGACCACAGCCTGCTCAATCCCATAGTCCTCCAAAGGAAAAGAGGCAAGGAGCCCCAAGAGGAACTGCCTATACTGTTCAACATCCACGCAAACACCCAACTTCCCAGCATGATGCCAGACATCTCTCTACTTGCCCACTCCTTCACTCACTCTCATCCAAGCCCCAGTAGCTGTGGCTGGAATTAGTCTCATGTCTAACTGGATTCTTCCCTTCATTCTTGCCGCTCACAGCCCCCTTGCCTTACAGCACCATGATGATTGTTTTTAAGAGGTGGGGCTTTTTAGAGCTTGGTTCTCCGTTTGTAGCCAGGCCGACCTCAAATTCAGTGATTCTCCTGTGTGCTGAGATTATAGACACATGCCACCTCATTCAACTAGACACAGACACTTCCAAATGTGCAAATTTGGCCCGTTTTTAGATCCTGATGGCTTCCTTCACATTGACAACAAAATCCAAACTCTGCTACACACCTGAAAGCTCTGGCCCATAGTCACCTCTGATCTCTCATCTCCTACAGCCCAGCCCCCTGGCTCAAGCCTTTCTAGTCCTCACTTCTCTAAAACCACCCAACCCCTCTTCTGACATGGGCCTCTCTAAGCATTCTTTTGCTTCTGTGCTGGGATTACAGATTATGTGACCACCCTGGTTTCTGAACACCAAATGCTTGCTCCTGGAACACTCAAACTTTTACCAAAGGACTTTGGCATTTGCTCTATTTCTTTACTTTCTTTCTATCCCCTTTTCTATAATACTGAAGTAAAAAAGAACCCAGGGCTAGACAAGTAAGTACTATACGACTGAACCCAGTCCCACATTCTCAACCACCCAATCTTAGCAGCCTTAGTTACCTGTCACCTCCTGAGGCCTACACTGTCTTCCATCTTGCCAATGCCCTTTAACCCTCCATTCCAACCACTCTCTCATCTTTCTTTAGACACCCAGATTCTCCTGCTTATTTAACTAACCCATTCACTAGAGAGGCCTGTACATGCGAACTGTGAAACAGAGACCTGTACATGACATTACCGTATCCTCACAGTACACTGAGTCTCTTCTTACTTTCAGGGCGAGGATGGAGCTTGAAGCAGGGTATTGCTATGGTGGCCTGGAATTCACTATGTAGCCCAGGCTGACCTCAAACTCATGGTCCTCCTGCTTCAGTCTCTTAAGTGTTAGGATAGGTGTCCACCATCACACCTAGCTAATCGACTGCTTCTCCAATACCTCTGTGACTGGGCCTCAAACACCCGGACCTTGCCACTGCCTATTCCCTGTCCTATCACTGTTTCAGCATCCTTTTCTGTTATCTGCTTCTGCCTCTGGGTCTCGCTCAAGCACCCACTTTTATAAGCCAAGTGCTTGTTGCTCTGTGCTAGCCAGCCTCTTGTAGTAGTCTGTGGGCTTATGAAGGCTGGCAACCTAGCCTAATCATTTTTGCTTCCCAGGTTCAGGAGCAGCATACAACACACAGAAGCCTTCCAACTGAGTATCAGAAAGAACAAATGGGTGCTAAGAGGGCCTGTGAGACCAGGACAGGGACTCCACAAGTTCCCGTGGCAGCCTAGGGAGAAACAGAGAAAGCCAAAAAGCCTGGTTAGGTGAGGACAAGGCCCAGGAAGCTGAACTCCTTTGCTCCAGTTCCCACAGGGGACTAGGAGAGAAAAAACAGAAAGAGTATAGGCCTTGTTCTGATGGCGAGGCTGAGGTCCCTGTCTTTGCCCCAGTGACACACCACCCAGGAGGCCACCCTGGTACAGGTCCCAAAGCACCTTCTGTTACCATCTGTGACCATACTGATGCTCCTAGCCAGAAAGTTACCCAAGGGAGAGGATACTGACTGGCCCACTGCACACAAGCAATGTCAGTCTCTGCTACTGCCCAGGGTCCTGCTGAGTCCTCCACTCAGGGTTCCTTCCAAGTTTCTGGACACTGTGGACTCTGGCTTCTGCCCCATTTGGGGCCTCTTAAAAGAAGATGGCACTCTGGGCCCCAGGGCTGGAAAACCCTCAATGCAGGCCTTTGTGCCTGTTTTGGTGCTCCTGACCACCTCCTTCCTCCCTTCTTAGCCAAGAAGTGGGTTGGTGAGGCTGAGGGGGCAGGAAATTACCCCGACTAGAATGACCATGCAGTTCCTGAGGAGCCCTGCTTGGCCTATGCTGGGGTGGAGGCTGGCCACTGCCAGAGGATTATAAAAACAGGAATGCCGGCTGCAGATGCGTGGCCCTACGCTCTCCAAGAAATCCTGGTCTGTCCTTGGCAGTACACCAACCTCACCCTGCCTGCCCTCCCGGGCCAATCTTTGCTTCCCACTCAAAAATATTTTAATGGTTTCCTGCTTCCTGCAACTGCCTGATATCCAAAAGTTTCATTTTATTCTTCAAAGCCCCAAATTGTGACCCTAAGATCGGAGTTCAAATCCTAACTCCAATACCTCTAATGTCAGTGCTCTTGGACAGGGCTTTGTCTCTTTTTGGGTATAAGTTAGCCTAGCACACGTCAATATGGTCACTCGCAGAAGCTGTAGACCTGCTGCACAGAACCTCTACTGGATACCAGCATGCCTGTCAGACATGCTGTGCCCATAACCTCATTCAACACTGGAAGTTTAGTCCTTCAAAGCAGTGGCACAGCCTTGTCCAGTATGGTCAAGGTTCTGAGTTCTACCCCCAGTGTTGCCAAAAAGAAAAGCAAAACCAAAAAGCCTACTGGGGAGCACACTCGGAGCACAGAGGGTGTGGGGGAGTCGCTACTCGGGTCATTTTTAGGCAGAGGCAGTGCAGCATAGGCTTTTTATCGGGCTCTAAGCTCCAGAGTCATACTAGCTGATTTAGTCCTGACAGCATCTTGGGCAGATGACTTCTAAGACTAAGCCAAGTTTTAGAGTTTATAGTTATGAAGTCCCCAGAATAACTCCTAGCAATTTGCTCAATACTTCCCAATCAGAACAACTGATGTCAACATAGCCTCCAAACCTGGTACAGGAAGTGTGGTACTTCAAAATCAGAAACAAATCCGAAGTAATCAGGGTTGCGAAGGTTCCCTGGAAATGCTTGGAGCCCTTGTCTTCCCTGGCTACGTACTGCAGTGCCTGCTGAGAGGGGCCGACCACCTACGGCTACATTTTAGCATTTACCTTCAGTCGGGTCAAGCCACTCACCGTGGCTTAGAAAACTATACTGTCTTACACTGCTCATCTCAGGTAACACATCAAAAAGACACCTCCACACCAACTCCTGTCTTACCCCGCCTCCGGGCCTAGCTGGTCGCAGGACAGCACTGGTCACAGGTGACTGGTCCAGATTGCTCAGGTCTGAACCTTGCCAGTTCTATGTTACCTGTGTGACTTCAGCTACGTGATTTTAGCTCTTTGCGTTCTAAGTGCTCCTCTGTGAAATGGGCCTAATGGTCTATGAGGAAGGTTGACTGAGACTGTATTTGTAACAGTGCTGCCGAGAGCACCAGGCACTACTGCTCAGTGTTAATAGCTGATGCCCTGCAGTAGAAATTTACAGACATATTTCTCATGTCAGAAGCTAAGACCAAAGATAAAACTGAGTGAGCTAGAGAACTCATGTATAATATCCATCCCTACCAGGAGCCCTCAGCAGCCAGTCAGCTATCAGAAATGTTGACAGGGAATACTGCAGAGATGGTTCAGTGATTAAGAGCACTTGCTTCTCTTACAGAAAACTAGGGTTCACATGGCGGCTCAAAACCAAACTGCCACTCTCCCTCTCTGTTTTTTTTTTTTTTTTTTTCTCAAGATAGGGTCTCTCTGTGTAGCCCCTGGCTGTCCTGGAATTCACTCTATAGACCAGGCTGGCCTCAAACTCACAGAGATCCTCCAGCCTCTGCTTCCCAAGTGCATGTACCATCAGACCTCACAGAGCATATATAACACTCTGACAGCCTTTGAAGTTTTCCCTGGTGCATAGTAGACACAACCTTCCCACCCAGGGCCACCCACACCTGTCCTGGGAATACAACTCCTCACCGTGCTGCCCACTACACATGGTTTCTACTTAAAAGAATCACCTGGGGCAGTTCTTCACATATCAAAATCTGAACTTTCTGCAGAGAACCTACAGCTCTTGTTCCAGGGAAATTCACCTTTTCTGGCCTCTGCAACTCTATGTAGGTGGTACAGACAAGCTTGCAAAACACCCACCCACACATTTAAAAAAATGCTGAGAGGGTCACTGGGGCTCATACACAGGTGTGGCTACAGAGCTCTCTCGGGCTGCCACTAGGAATATAGGCTGTGAAGCTCCAGATCTCAGGACTTTCAAGAGTTGCTAGAAATTTGGTTTTTAAAACTTTGTATACTAAATTTATTTAGAACCAAATCAAGGGCTGGTGCGATGGCTCAGTGGTTAAAAGCAATGGCTGCTCTTTTAAAGGACCTGGGTTCAATTCCTAGCATCTATATGGCAGTTCACAACTGTCCAATCAAAGATCCAGTTTCGGCGGATCTGAGATCTGATATCCTCTTCTGGCCTCCAAGGGCAGCAAGCAAACAAATGGTACACAGACATACCTGCAAGCAAAGCACCATACACAGAAAGTAAAGATTAAAAGGAGGAGGAGGAGGAATAGAAGCAGCAGCAGGAGCCATCTGGCACATATCTCTAATTCCAGCACTCAAGAAGCAGACGCAGGTGGATGTCTTTTGAGTTCGAGGCCAGCCTGGGCTACAGAGTTAGTTTTAGGACAGCCAGGGGCTACAAAGAGAAACTCTACCTTGAAAAACCAAATAAGTAAATAAATAAAAATTAACAAACAAAAAACAACAACAAACCAAATCAAATGTGAGTTCCTAAGACACAACTACAGGTCACATCCTGAGAAGGTTGGTTCACAACCTCTGCACCGCTTCCCTCATAAAGCTGAAGCTCAGAAGGGTCATGGGACTTGCCAGGGCCACAGAACAAGGGCAGACAGCCCAGTTTATTTTCACCTGGGAAGATAGGCCTCACCTGTATTTGCATTGCTCCCAATACTGTTGATGGCCGGCGGCACCGAGCTGGATGGGTGGAAGGGTACATGTCCGTTTTCCCGGGGTGGCTTGTCCTGCCAGCCTGGCCCTGCCTCTCCAGGGGCCAGCTCTGCAGGTCCCCCCCATTCATCTGAGCCCTGGCGTGAATGGTAGGAAGGCTCTGGCCGGGTTCGGAATCCACTAGCCAGTCGCTCTTCCAGGTGGCTTAGCCAGAGGGCTAGCGCATTGCGGTCCTCCAGAGTGGTGGCCGGGTGGATGAGGGCGTAAGAGAGGAGCTGGCGGCTCTCCTCAATGAAGGCATTGCTCTCGATGGAGTAGGCCAGCACCTTCTGCAGCAGTCTCATGTACTCGGACTTGGCCTCCGTGTTGCCTGGCTGCAGCAGGGGCAAGTGGGACAGCAGGAGGGACACCACCTTGTCTTTGGACTCCTGTTGCCACTGGCTGACGATGGCTGCAGAGGGAGTAAGGAGGGACATCAGGAATGTGAGCAGACACTATGAAAACCCAAAGCCCACGGCCTCCCCTCAGCTCTCATCTCTTCTGCTTTTCCCAATTTCCCCTGACCCGTCGCTCACGGAACTGAGACCAAGCACATGTTCCCTGCTACCAAAGCTGTTTCCCTAGTTCTGTCACAGCTGTTCTCAAAACCTGCGTGACTTACAGTCCAGTCAGCCAGGTGGGGTCCTCCTACAACATGAAGGCCTGCCTGTGCCTCTGCTCTATCGACCTGCCTACCACCATCACCAATACTTCCTCCATCACACAGGCTGCTGGCTAAACAGAAAAGAAGGTGCTGGAATTCAAGTTAAAACCTTGTTCTTTGGCATAAGATGGCCCAGATTCTTCACCAGTACGATCTTAAGTAAGTCACCTTAAATCTCACTGAACAGTGATTTCTTTGTTTGCTTTTGGAGGCAGAGTCTTGCTATGTAGCCCAGGCTGGCCTTCAAACTCCTCCCAAAATACTGCTACCTGCAAAACTTGAAAGAAAATTATAGCACCTGATTCACAGTGCTGGTCTGAGACTTAATGAGCTAATAAGAAAAGTAAAGTAGGTCTGGTGAGATGGCTTAGCGGGTAAAGAAAAGCCCTTGCTCCTGAGCCTGACAAACTGATTTTGATTCCCAGGAGACACAGTCTGCAAAGAACCAACTCCCGTGAGTTGTCTTCTGACCTCCATACTGCCATGGCTTACAAATGTATCTTCCATTGAATGAATGGATGAGCAAACGGATGAAAGAATAAATGCTACAAAGAATGGAATGTGGCCTGGCATCAAAAGTACAGGAAATGGCTGCTACCGTTTTTCACTGGCTTCTCTGCCTCCCAGTGACAACCTTCAATCTGCCCTGTCCACACAGGCAGGCTTATCTTTCTAAATCACACTCAAGTTCCATCAGATTTTGCGCAGTTTGCTACAGCAGCCTGCGCCCAGACTTAAATCCATGGACCCACAGTCCAACAACAGCTTCATTTCTAGGTCACCCCTCCTCTCATCAGATGCTGACTCAGCGCGGGGGGGCCATTTGTCTTCCTTAGGGCTCTCCAGACACTGTCTTCATTCAAGCTCCCACAGTGAGGCTGAGGTTCACTGCAACACTGAGGCTTCAGCTGCAACATCCCTTTTTTCCTGGCCAAAGCCTAGGTCTTCCTCTTTCCCGCAGAACTGCAGACCGAGCCTGTGGCCCTGAGTGTGCTAAAGCAGCACTCTACCACTATCCTGCAAACCCAGCCTTCTTTTAGTTTGCACTTTAAGGTAGGGCCTCACTAACAGTGACCCAGGCTAGCCTTGAACTCATTCTATAACCCAGAGAAGCAACGGAATGGTGATCCTCTTGCCTCAGTATTCCCAACTAGCTGCTATTACAAGCTTGAGACACAGGCCCAGATCGGTTAGTATGAGTGAGTGTGAGTGAGTGTGTGTGTGATAGTACACTCATGGAAGTCAGAAGACAACCTGTAGAGTCAATTCTCCTCACATACCACAAGGGTCCCAGGAATCCAACTCACTGTGTCAGGCTCGCCAGTAAGCGCCTTTGCCAACTGAGCCATCTGCAGGCCCAGCTTGGCATTTGAACACGATACAAAAAAAAACCCAATATGGAATACTTCATGAATTTGAGTATCATCACTGCATGGAACTCATGCAAATTTCCCCTATATTTTTCCAATTTTAGCATTTGTGCTGTTAAAAGTGAGCTCCAAATCCCACATCTTTTTTCTTTTCTTTGAGACAGGGTCTCACTAGGTAGCTCCGGCTGGCCCCAAACTCTAAATCCTCTTGCTTCAGTTTCCTGAGTGCCCTGCTGGCCACAGCTTCAGCTCTACGGTAGCTGTAAAGGGAGCTCAGAATCATTCCTACTCTGCACAGCTGCCAGGAACTAAGTGAGATTCACAGTGCAAGGTCAGTCCTTTGGAAACTGTTTTTACTATTTATTACTAGTATTGTGGTTAATATATTTAACTGTGGTTTCTTCCGTTTTAACAATATACAAAGATTCTAAAGGTATTGGCCAACCAGTCAGCCTAGGAAACAGAACAGAATTAGATCTCAGAAACCTAGATATAGCCAGGCCTGATGATGCAAGCCTATAATCCCTATTCAAATTCAAGGCCCACAAGAGCTATTGGGTAAGTTCAAGGGCAGCCTTAGCAAGATCCTACCTCGAGAGGGGGGGGGGGGAAGGACAGAGGGAGCATGCCCTGGGGCACACTCAGTGGCGGAGTACACACACCTAACCTGAATCAGGCCCCACATTCAAGAATGGGGGAAAAGGGCTGGAAATGGCTCAGAGGTTAGAGCACTGTGTGCTCTTCCAGAGATCCTCAGTTCAATTCCCAGCAGCCACTTGGTGGCTCACAGCCATCTTTAATGAGATCTGGTGCCCTCTTCTGGCGTGCAGACAGAACATTGTACACATAACAAATCGATCTGTTCCGCAGCCCCAGAGTGCAGAATGAACATGTAGATAACTTGCAAATTGTTCCTCTGTACCTTTTATCCTAATTCTGTAGCCTGGAATTCACATCAGTTTCTAATTCTATGTACATCTGTAGCTCTCGGAATGAATCTCACAACTCACAACTCCTGGGGCCTGCAAGTCTCTTCTCTGTGCTCTCTTGGACCAGGGAGTTCACTGTGTAACTACAGCAGCCGCCCAGGAGTGACAGAGCAAGCAGTCCTGCAAGCACTCCTGAGGTCAGCAGCGATGCCTGATCCTGAGCACATGCTAAGAACATGACTGCTGCCCAGCCTCACCTTCATTATTTTACTATTTCTACACACAAGTAAGACTTGAGAAGGTGAAGTGACGGAACCGGCAAGTGACAAAACTAAGGCCTAAGCTGCATGTCCTGCCTTGACAACTAGAAGAAACTTTCCCCACAACTTTAAGAACATTTCCCGTCCTATGTGCGTGGGGTTTTGTCTGCTTGTATGTCTGTGCAGCATGTGCATGCAAGGCCTGTGGAGGTCAGGAGGTCAGATCCCAGGTACTGGGGTGAAGACCCTTGTGAGCCAACACATGGGTGCTGGGAATGGAGCTGGGCAGCCAGCGATTACTGAGTGACCCCTGCAGCCCTCAACGTAATTTTCCATCTTCCAGGGCCAATGCAGCCTTCACTCTTCTCACCCTGTACCTGCCACTCAAGGCCAGGAAATCGGCCCTCATCCACCTTCATGTGAACCAGCTCTCAGCGCCTACAAAGTCCTTCCTACAACCGTCACAGTGTTTACACGCCCTTCAAGTGGGGAAGGGCCTCCTCAGCTCAGGAGGCCTTTTCTGCGCTAGCCTCCTGCCTCCATCTGGCACCACGACCGTCTGATATCCCTCTTTTTTGGACTTAGTTCCCGAACTTTTAGTTCCTGATATCTAGCATGAAGAACTAGAGCAATATTAAGGACAAAGTCAAAGGCCTTGCATTCTAGCTGTCAGAGCAATATGCTTCCTCCTCTATACAAGGAGAGAGGGTTGCTGGGATCTGGGCTGCTCAGCTCTAGGCAACAGTATTCATGAAGGACTAACAGTGACTGTGGTAAATGTGCAGATGTGGCACAAGGATGGGTGTTTTTCTCCGTGTTCCTCTTGGAGTCAGCTAGCCCCTTCATCCCTACCCTGACTTCTCAATGCTGTTGTTTAGGCCTTACAGTGCAGCCAGAGACATCTAGGACAGAGAGAAGCCTTGTCTAAAACTTCCCCCACCCCCAGAGTACTGCCAGGACCCCAGGGCTACGGGATGCAGCTTCTCCTCTGGTACTGCCAGGGGACGTGACAGAACAGCCTCAAGGGTTGGGCTCAAAGAAGGACCTTGTTCTCCTGCTCAGAAAGGAGAGAGTAATTTTGAACCAATGAAGGCTGACCCTAGGGAAATGTGTGTTCATGGGTCTGAGTGGCGGTGGTGGGAAGGGCGGGCCTCCCAGGACTGGGAAGCATCAATGAGCACTGGAATGAGTCCAAGGAATGTGCACGGCCTCAGGCCCCTTGGGGTGAGCCCAGCTGGGGCCGCAGATGACGGGTGGGGATGGAACTTCTGGTTTCCTGCCCAGATCAGAAAACTCTGGTCGGGAGTTAAGACACCACAGGGGCCAAATGAATACCTTGCACAATTGTACCCAGATCGTCTGTTGGTAGGTAGCAGTATCTGTGTGTATAATGTGCCCTCTATGGGAATTCACGGATTCAGGCCTTTACTTCTAGCAGAGCATATTCTGAAAGTTCGAAAGGAAAAACCTGCCAGGCAAAAAATCTACTTCTGTCTTCATGACCACTGCACTGTAACCATGGCCAGACCTTTAAATTCTCTGAATCTCAGTCATTTGTCTATGTAACCCTGGCTGTAAAGACCTGAGATCACACGACGATTCCACAGTCAACACTAGGATGCAAAGCACCTGATAGGAGCAAGAGCTCAGCAAATGAATACAATCTTACAGACACTGCTCCTGGGTGGAAATCTTTGAGGCTGTCTCAGGGCCGTGGAGCCAGTGCTTCACTTAGCAGAACACATGTGAGACTCCCCCTTAAGATTCCCCACAGGGGTGGGGAATTTTGCACAATTATTTACCAAAAACCAGACACGTCTGGTCGTACAGCCATAATCTGTAGTGATGAAATTCTGCAGATGGGTGGACTGGGGTTGTGGGACCAAGTAATACAGGGATGCCAGCAGTTGCTCCCCTCAGGGATGCAAAGTGGATTCAGAGGGCATGGAAAGGGTAAAGGACTATGTGAGTACTCTCCTTAATACAATGGCTGCAGGGCAGGACTGGCCAGGTGACCCAAGCAAAGTAGGTCATGACCCTGGGTCCTGGCAAATCATAGGAGCCAAATATATCTCTGAGACTATCATAAGAGTAAACCCATTTTTGATGTGCTTAGCTGTCGCAACAATCATGTTGGCCTCTGGCACTAGTTAGTGGGGCTGGAGCTTGGCTTCAGACATACTCTTCTC